ATAGGGCACGTGCACTCGCCAGACAGACAGAGAGAGACATAGAGACAGAAAGTGAGAAATCACCCCCCGGGGGGATGGTCACGCCGCAATCCCTTCTCCTCCATTCTCCTCTCGGGATCCTGGGCATGCACGCACATGTGCCTGGCGTGAGTTTTAAGCCTGGGCATGCACATACATGCGCCCGGCGTGAGTTTTAAGCCACTGGGTCCGGGTCGCAAACCGCGGTCGACTACATGGGAATCCAGCGACATAGCCATTACACTAACTGCTGGTTCCCCAAAAGCTCTTTTTTTAAAAATTGTGTTTTGAAAGACTTTTCCGCCCCCCCCCTCTATTTAACGCTGTTCTAAGACTTACAGTAGAACTATTGTCGTTGGGGTCTGGGTTCTAGACCTCCATTAGTGCAGCACTGGGTTGCATTCGCTTTTTCTTTAGCACTAGACTTTTTTCTTTTGTTTTAGAGAGAGATTTTTGCTATAGGGCGCATGTGCTTGCCAGAGAGACAGAAAGTGAGAAATCACCCTGGGGGGGCGGGAGATTTCCATGCCCCAATTCCTTCTCCTCCATTCTCCTGTCAGGATTTTGGGCATGCATGGACACATGCCAGATACTTTTTTAAAAATTATTTTATTTAACTTTATTTATTTATTTTGATTTGACCAGAGAGGGACAGAGTGAGAATGTGCATGCGTACACGTGCATGAGAGAGAGAGAAAGTGAGAAAGCAAGTAGCCAGGTCCAGGACGTGAATTGTGGCTGGCCACGTGGGAGTCTAGTGCCCTTAACCACCGCCACCTGCCAGCCCCTGGTGTCACCAATCTGGAGTACACATAAGGAATATAAGCCGGGCACCTCTGTCTCCGGCAGTTCCTGTCCGAGGTCTAAGGAAAGCAAAGGAGTCCGTCATGGCTGCCTGTGACACTGCGTGTAGAAGGCCACCAGGGGCACAGACACAACTGCGAGACTGAGAGGAGGGTGTCGGGAAAGTCTCTGTGGAGTTTTCTTCACAAAAATGTGTCCTGCTAAGAAGAAAATGGGATACAAGAGCCCAGAGACCTGAGAATTGGAGAAGGCTTTTAGAGGATTTGACTGTAAACTAAGGCTTTCTTTTAAAGTGTATTTATTTACTGCTTCCAGGAGAAACAGAGAGAGAGAGAGAGATAGGTATTCCCTCCAGGGTCTCAACTCCCTCCACAATTCTCGGCCCAGTGGGTCACAGGCATGTGCACCTCCAGAGGGCCCAGGGAAGCCTCAGGACACAAACCTGGGACCTTGCAACGTGATCCCCATGTGACCCCCAACATGATTCCCATGTGATACCTACTTGATCCCCATGTGAGGATCACGTGACCACCTTGCGATGCCCACGTGATCCCCACATGATGATCCCATGGCCACTGCATGATTCCCACATGACCGCTGCATGATCCCCACGTGATGCCCATGTGATCACCACGTGATCCCCACGTGACAACCACATGACACTCACGACCCACCACGTGATGTCCACGTGATCCACGAACTGTTCCTCTGTCTCCTGTGAATCCCTTAGCGTAGGGGAGCCGCAATCACACCTCTCATGGGAGGCGTGTCTGTTGCCCTCACTAGGTTTAATTGCACCATTCGATCGTGGTCAAGTTGTCACTCAAAGTGCTCTAGAAATCGTCAGTGGTTTACACGAAGTGGTCATGGGTGTCCGGAACACCCTGATGCTATATCCAAGTTGTACGTAGTTCCAAACATGTTTAAAATGCAAAGGCACTGTCGTGTTGTCCTCACTCTGCACTTCGCTGTTGGTGTGGCAAGGCATTTAAAGACGTTCCTGACATTTTTGTTTCCCTGAGTTCGCGAGGTGGTGTTAACTATACTTAAACCCGATAAAACACAGCGTGTCTAGGATGGGGGAAAGAAGAGGAATGGTGACTGTAATGGAGAATTATGATCTTAGTTAACCATAGGATTAAGTGCACTAGAAGAAGTCTGGTTGGGTTACTTTTACATAGTATACTCGTTCTTCAAAGCTGAAATCAGTGTTGTAGTGAAAAAATTTAATCTACATGGTTATCGGTAATAGAATAAAAATAAACTGATGCATGAGTTATAAAAATTGATATTTTTAGCTTCAGAAAAAGACACATGTTTAATTTTCATTAAATGTACACCGTTTGGCATTACAAATATACTTGCTCTTTGTTCACTATGTGTTGATCTACTGGACACTGATATTTTTAACTCTTAGGTGTAACATATCTTACTTATTAGACTCAATTATTTTATTTAGCAACTGAAAATAGAATTTTGTTGGTGGCATTTGGATTTTGAGACACCAGTTTTCTTTTATTGGCCATGGAGTCCAAGAAAGCAAAATGACCATTATGTGGTCCAAGAAAGGTAAGCCATTAGAGTGGCTTACTTTGATTTTTCAAATTCATGGATCCAAAGTGTGCTATCATGTGAAAACACTAGAAGAATGTAGAGGAAACATTAAGTAAGTCTAGTATAGCTGCTATAACCTTGGAGACCTGCACTCTCTGGGGAGAGCTTCTGTAACATGCTGTACCTTCCTAAGGCAGGTCTAGTTGGAGCTGCATCTCCTGGTGTTGGGCTTGCCAGAATATTCTTTTAAAAAGAGCTAGCTTCCCTGCTGAAGAGGGGTGTTAATTTTTCATGGACTTTTCACTATGATGAGGAGCATGAAAAGGATGAGAGCTTTAGGAAAAGAGTGTTAAAACCAAATAATAATAATAATAAAAAAAGCCTTTCTCTGGTTCTAGATGGAAAATGGAGATTACTGAAAATTTGCCTGTTAGCAGAGAGACAAGTTAAATATGGAATGATTTAATGCAATTAACTCTTTGGTGTGAATTTCCTGGGAAAGGAAGGAAGATTGTGCCAAGTCTAGCCCACTTATAATCAGAATAGAAGCTATTTGAAGACTGTCAGGATTACATTTCTACTCTGCCAGGCAAGTCTATCATAAACAGTTCCTTGACCAAAGGAGGAAGTGACTGCCATGCCCCAAAGCAAATCACTGGCCCTCTAGACCAGTGTTAAATTAGGGAAGCTGACAAATTTTCTATTATCAAATTACTTCACTCTTCATAAAAAACTTTTAGCAGTTCAATAAACTCTGGGAGTACTTCAGAGTAGCTACATTTACATCCTATGTGGACACTGTGTTGCAAAGTCCATGGGAAAAGCAAACAACACAGAAGTCTAAATTCCTCGGGCCAGCTCCACTGCCTGATTAAGGGAGCTGGATCCTGCGTGGCTGACTGCTAGTTCGAATCCCAGCCCTGGCAGCTTGAAAATCGTGCCAGGCACATGTGCATGCCCCAAATCCTGACAGGGTGGGGAAGTGGAGGGAGAAAGAATGGCAGTGTGATCATGCCCCCTGGGGAGTGCTCTCTTCCCCCACCCACGCTGGCAAGCAAACACATGTGCTTACTTGCAAATGAAAAAATAGAAGCCAGCAGGTGGTGCAGTGGTTAAGGGGTTGGACTCCCATATGGTCAGTTGTGGTTCAAGTCCCAGACCTGGTGTTTGCTCTTCTCACTTTCCCTTTCTCTCTCTCTCTCTGGTCAGATTAAATAATTATAGTAATAACTAAAATAATTAAAAAATCATCATCATCATCCACTAGAAGTGCTGGTTTTATAGGTTGGTGCGAAGTATATTATATGATTTTCTTCTTCTCCTCCTACAAGCCTATAGATATTACTATACCCAACCCCTTTTTTCTTGTATTTTTTTTTTTCCAAATTGTGAAAAGCCACACAACATAAAACTGATCATCCTCACCATTTAAAAATGTGCAGCATACTAGGGTCAACACCACGCACATTGCTATGCAACAGATCTTCAGGCTAATTTCTTCCTACACATCAGAAACTTTATATTCATCCAACAGCAACTTCATGTACTCTCCTACTCCATCCGTGGGCACCTGCCATTCAGTTTTCTGTGAATTTGATTAGGTACTTCATGTGAGTAGACTTACACAGTAGGTGTCCTTTTGTGACTGGCTTGTCTTAGTGTGTCATCAAGGTTCATCCACGTGGCAGCATATCAGACTTTCCTTTCTTGTTAGGGTGGAATGCTATTCCATAGCGTGTCAATATCCCCGTCTTTAGTTGATAGTGAGGTTCAGGCATCTTTCTCCCTCTAGTTAACAGAGAAACCAGAATTTGACCCAGTTATTGCTGGCTCCAAAGCCTGGCTCCTCTTTCCACCACGCTTGATTGCCTGTTCAGAGTATTCACCATGTGTGGCTAGGACTCCTTCCTGTCTCTCAGAATCCCCTCCTGTCTTCCACTGTATCATACTACTTTGAAGATGCACCCCATAAGCCCAGGAGGGACCTCATCTGAGTCTACTGATCTACTTAAACCATCTCAGGGAAAAAGAGATTTAATGCACAGGTCTCTGCTATGCCTGTTTTAAAGAAGACTTGCAGACTCACATTGAGGTTTCTCTTCAATGCACATCGGAGGGAGGGAGAGGTTGAAGAAGGTGGCCATGTATAGGGGTGCATCCAGTGAAAGCTGAACCAAAGTGACAGCAAATAAAAAAGATTACACTAAGAACATATCTCCCAATGCGTGGGGATGTCCAGAATGAATTGCTAAGTGAAGAACTTCTAGGTGCATAGTGTTGTGTGGTATGATCCCATTTCAGAACTACAAAGAAACAAAGACAAAACAAAATAACTCCGCCCTCCAAACCCATACATGTGCCAGTACGTGTGGAAGGAGGGATTGTTACAGGACCTGGTGGTTACTGTGTGTCTGGCAGACAGAGGAGCCTCTGAGATGTGTGGTGAATGCAGAAATGTACCTCAGTTACTCGGGATGCCAGGAGAAACTGGCAGAGATCCATGCTGACAAAGGTTCCTAGACCCATTGGGACTAACTATCAATTTCATCAGTGAGATAAACTCAAAATCTGGGCTCTGATATATGCGATTCTGTACACTGTATTTCCTCACACTCTCTATTATCTTCCTGGGCCACTCACTTCCTCTTACTAATTTCCAACCAGAGGGACCAGCATATGGTGCAATAGCTATGTCACTGGACTCCCATGTAGTCGACAGTAGTTCAAGTCCCAGACCCGGTGGCTTAAACTCACACTGGGCGCGTGTGCGTGCGTGCCCGAGATCCCAAGAGGAGAATGGAGGAGAAGGGATTGTGGTGTGGCCCTTCCCCCTGGGGATGATTTCTTGCTTTCTGTCTCTCTGTCTTTCTGGAGAACTCACGTGCTATATAGCAAAAACTTCTCCAAAAAGAAAGAAAAAAAAAGAACAATATCCAACTAGATTAGTCTCCTTTAGTTTCTTAAATTAACAAAGGATTTTCCAAGCCCAGGTCCTTGGCACATGCTGTTTTCTCAGCCTGGAATGTGTTTATTCCCCTCTATCTGGCTGGCTCCGTCTCATCAGTTAGGTCTCTGTTTCATGTTATCTTTTCTGAGAGATCTTCCCTGTCACCATAGCTAGTATTGGTGTCTCTCCTGCCTGATAGCTTTCTACCTCAGGCCTTGTGTTTGCTTCCTTATAGCACTGTTGCAACTTGTAATGATTTTATTTATTGGTTTTGTTCCTATTGTTACTGAACCCTCTCCTGGGTAGAAGTTAAAACAGGAGCTGTGGTCATCTTAGTCATCATTCCATCCTTGTTTGACACATAGTAGGTCCGCAGTACACATTTGTTGAATGAATACACTCAACAGCAGACTTGCAAGTGTGTGGCAGGGCATCCCTGGCACAGATCCTATTCCATACTTACCTGTTAAATTCAAACAACAAATTCTAATGGCAGCACAGAGGAAAAAGAAGCAACTGAAGATGTGAGTCAGATCTTCCACTTGTGGCAAGAATTCCACAGAGCTGCTGGTGGTCTGTACTGAGGTCAGGGGGTGTTCTACAGGACCCAGGAGCTGTTTGGGGACCCAGTGGAGAGATGTGGGCAGAAAATCCTTTTCTTTCCAATCGGCAAGCCCTTGGGACCAGCAGTTGGCATAATGGCTATGTTGCTGGACTCCCATGTAGTTGACTGCGTTTCAAGTCCTAGGACCAGTGACTTAAATTCATGCCAGGTGTGTGTGCATGTGTGCCCAAGGTCCTGAGAGGAGAATGGAGGAGAAGGGATTGTGGTGTGGCCATCCCCCCCGGGGGGGTGATTTCTCGCTTTCTGTCTCTGTGTCTCTCTCTGTCTTTCTGGTGAGTGCACGTGCCCTATAGGAAAAACCTCTCAAAAAAAAAAAAAAAAAAAAAAGGAAGAAAAGCAAGCCCTCACTTCCATTCTTGTAGCACTTGCCAAGAAAATTCATTTCTTATGCAATAATTTCTGAAAAAGATGTCTTTCAAAAGGCTGTCTCAGAAACGTTTGGTGAAAAGATTGTCAAAAATCCTGTTCCTGAGCTCTCCTTCTGAGGTTCTAATTAAGTAGTTGGTCTGGTTGGACTAAGGGATTTGTATAATTAAAGAGCTCTCCAAGGTGACTTGCCCACATTTGGGAACCAGTGGCTGAGGTAAGGCGGAGGACTCTGCAGAAGCATTAACTTTGCATGCAGAGCCTCTAGGGACCCTTCCCACTGCCTCTTCCATGACCAACCCACCTCTCGGAATGAATTGCAGACAATCCCCCCTGGAGCAGCAGTCTTCTTTCATCCAGTTAGGTCCCTATTAGTGAAATAAAATATACCTCTTAAAAAAACAAAAGTTCACTCTGCAGTAGCTTAACTGAGGGGAATTAAATGAATGTGGAAGTGTATTCATATATCTCATCACCTGCTCCTACTGAGCTGCTTCCAGACCTGTCATCTGAGGCCGGAAGAGCTCCTGTCAGCCAGAGGAAACTGGGACACGAGATATGTGAAATGCAAAGCTTTCCCCAGGGCATCTCTGAACTCAGATGTCCAGGGAGGGAGAAGTAGTTAAAATCCACCCATGGGCTGTGGGGATTTGGCTGAGGTCTCTAACTTTTCAGGAAACCACCACTGTTTTGGTTAAGCTGTCTGCCTTCTTGCTGGCTCTCTGGAGTTAGGTCCTGTAGTCATCAGATCAGGAAACACACCTGTTAGAAATGGGTTCTTGGTTTAGCCTGGCATCGCAATCGGTAACAGAATGAACTGCAGTGCTGGATGCCACATGGCTGACTGTGGTTCGGATTCCCTTGCAGATCTGAATCAGGCTGGGTGCATGTGCATGAGTACCTAAGATCCTGACAAGCTGGAAAACTGGGAAAAGGGACATTAAAAAAAAAAAAAGCTTTCTCTCTCTCTCTTCCTTATATGCATGTGCATACTAGTTGAGTAAAATTAATAAACTTACTAAAAACCAAAAACACCACCAAACAAACAAACAAAAAACAACCAAAAAAGTAACATGGATTCTTATGGCCAAAGTTTCCTATTCTGTCTCTTTCTCTATTTTCTTGCCATCTTGTGGCCAAGAGCCTCTTCTTTTCACTTGAGTATGGTGGAGGTGGAATCGCTAGTCCTAAATTTCTCCATACCTACTGAACGTCTCTCCAGTTCAAGCACAGTATCAGCCTCCCTCTCTCTGAATTTCCTGTGTTCACCATGCTTTCTCCCCTGGTTCCTTTTCTCTACAACTCTCCTCCCACCACCCCCACCTTTAATCATTGGCTTCTAAGACCCCTGTCAATTCTCCTACCTCTGTAGTTATATTTGACAGAGCTTAGGGGAAATTTTAATCAATTGTTCCAAAATTGCACACAAACCCATAGACATACAGATGTAACTCATACAGAAATATGCCCTTTCATGCCATGTTTCACATTTGTACGTTCTTTTGATTATTGTTTGAAGTTCTCAGAATGAGATGGTGGAGATGTAACCATGATTTCTGTTAGTTGGCACGACCATCAAGAACATGCGAGAGAGATAACAGGGTGGAAGGAGGGGGCGGTGGAGCTCGCATTTTAGATTTAATCTTGGTCTTGTTGCCTTAACAACTTGATGTAGATTTCAAAGAGGTGGACTGTTTTCTTAATAATCTTTTTGGAAGCCAGAATCATCCTAACAATAGCACCGAAAATAACCAAGCCTCTGTCAAATGTATTTCCTTGAAGAAGGAAATTTGGTGGCAACACAGAGGAAGAAGAGGCAACCAAAGAAAGAATTAGATCTTCTGCTCTGCAGAGAAGGCAATTC